TGCTGTAGATGACCCTGCTTTGGCGGGAGGTTGGACTAGATGATCTCCGAAGGTCCCTTCCAACCCCTGCCAGTCTGGGATTCTGTGATTCCTCTGTTATTATTCAAGCATAAAAGTCACATGGACCTCATTTTCTACAAATCACCTTGCAAAGGCACAATTTACCTGCCCACCAATTATGATTTTAGCACTGCTGCATTCAGATGCCACTTCCCCAATGATGTTTTTCAGCTCCCTCCCACCCCCGACAATGGGTTCTACATTTTCTAGGTTGGATTTCTCATTGTTCTCATTTCTTTCTGTATCTTTATTCTCTCTTTTAGGTCACTAAACGAATGAATTGAACAACTCAGCTCCATACAAGTATACATCATGACAACTTGACAATTAATTCGTCCCTTAGGTAATAATCTGCTAATGTCCTATTCCTAACTAATTCAAGGTATACATTTTAAGCACGATTTCATGGGAGTAAATGCTCTGTGAACCTACTGACTTACGTATTGTGGCCTGCTTTCTTAAAATAACCCGATTCAGGTGATCAAGCTGTGTGCATATCTATCATCTCTTGACATCCACTACTAAACCAAGTAACTTCTCAACCAACTGGCTGATTTCAACCAGCACTACAAGATAGTAAATTTCCAGAAGCTCCATGAAAACAAACAGCTAGACAGAATGACAACTTCATCAGTACCCTCAGTGATACATAGGCTGGCAGAAAATCCACACCAGTGCCAAAACTTAGGCTTTAACTAAAAAAAAATTTTTCTTTGTGAGTGCACATCTCATTTGATAAGACAGGAATCACAGCTTAACTAGCGCCTTCAAGCACATTATCTGGTGACAAATGAAGTGCATATGCAAAATGCATGTGATTTTACTCCAATTGGGACATTTAAAACATGCAGGTGTCTCCTCTGAATCTATTTGTGTCTGGTGGGGAATAGTGTACCTCAAAGCCTCAGTATAATTCAGATAAAAACCCCAAGAATTCAATATACTGAAACAATCTACTTGATTCTGCTCTCACCTGGCTAATTTATTATCATTTTCTGTCTCTTTACAGACACCGGTTTTCACAAGACCCTACCCTCAGAATCAAACAGAAAGTATAAGGCACTGATAAAGAGCTTAAACTAGTACATGGTTTGATCAGTCCTTTCTGGTTGAATATTATTTCCCTTTTTTTCTTTTTAAATTCCACCTGTAAACAGATCAGTCTCCTCCCTGTACATTCTTCATTCCTCCATTCTTTTGTTATGCTTTTCCCTGCAAGCCTTAATCAACACCTGTCATTCCATTAGCCTCACTGGTATCTTCCCATAAGATTACAGTTGTTTCATCCACCTATTGTTCTGCGAATACCATAGTGTTTGTTACAATACATCTTTTGAAAAATGCTGGTTAGGTTTTCTGGGATTCAACTTCATAGCAATGGATTTATGTCCAATATTAGGCAAGACCTTACTCATTTAGGTCAGCACTCTGAATCTGCCCAAATTCAATAGCTTTGTCCTAATGAATTCTATGATTCCACTTTGTGAGAAAGATGAGCACCAACTTTTCCTTTTTTTCTTGTGTATTTGAAAAAAACATAAACATCCCATGTAAACACATCTCTGATACAAACAAGTGGATCTTAAGAAGCTGATTCATTACTCCACATTTCAGTGCTCAGCTCCACAAGCAGTTATCTCACAAATTCAAGTACCATAAAAATTGGTCCAACAATTTATCATTCTTGACCACAATTGAAACCAAAAGAAGTAACTATCCTGTAAGTTTTCACTTGCACTCATTATGCACAAAACACCACCATTCTCACTTGACACCATTTAAGGAGATTTTTCAAAGACACAGATGAATTCATATATTGGAAATATTGCAACAAATCATCAACAGAGAAAATAATTTTATTGTCTTTACTTCAAGATTATATTTCCAAAATTTTCTGTGCCTCTGAGTTATAACCCAGTGTTATCCTTTATACACTGAGCTTAAACACTTCATGGCTTGTTTTAATGTTGCACTTTTCAGACCCAGCAATCACAAGGTGTACCTCAGACCTGCACAAGACCTGGGATACAGATGGCTCGGTTAGTATCAAGTGCTCAGTAATCCTCAAGATTAAAGAATGTTCTTTCATGGGTACTGCTGTCTACCGTAAGACACAGAACTGTAAAACTATTTGCCACATATTCCAAAAAGGGAAACAGATGGATCACATTGAAATGCTGTTAATTTGTTGCACAGTTCCCATACATACACACAGCACATGGTCTCATCTAACCACCAGAGTCTACAGGAGTTAGTTCATCACCTGCATACATACAGTGTGCAAGGCCCCAAAGCAACCATACAGGCAGGCACGCACGCCAGGTGCAACAGCTCGCTAGGACCTCCCCACCAAGCCAGCTCTTCGGAGTTTTACTCCAGCAGGCAGAAGTACCGCAGCAAGCCAGACCTCTGTGCTACACACTTAAGTGCCTGCGCCTGGTCACTGCTTGCCACAGCATTTGGCACACATCTCACACAAGCTGCACCTGCCTGATCTCAGTAACACCGATAGCCAACATTAGATAGTCAGAAGGTAAAACACAAACTCTACAGTCATTCTGTAACCTCTGTGTGATCACATCCTCTACTGAACCTCAGAGTACTTGGATAGCAGACTAGCAATGGCTGTTAACAGTGATCTGCACGACAGCAAAAAGAACCTCTTTTAGGTTATCAAGAGAGTTGACGGTAAGAAGAGTGAATCAGGATGTTTGCACCACCCACCTTCCCAACCAGGACAGTGACGCCAGGCTTACAAAGCCAACTTGGGCCTCCTGTAGGTCCAAAAGCTTTGGCAGCACAGCCTCAGAGCCTGACACCACCAGGACAAATTCCTGACTGTCAATTTATCAACACCAAATTTGCTCATCCATTGCCAAAACCAATGGTGCATCCTCAGCTTCCATACAGCATTTTGCTGCTTTTTCTTTTTCTCAGTCCTTACCTGGACTCCCATGATAGCACCTGAGGATTAACTCAGCAGAGAGCACCAAGTAAACTCTTTCATCCTAAAGCTCTCTCCCCACGCTCAAAAATCCAAGACAAGGAAAAAAACCTTATCTCACAGAATAAGTCTCCCAGGTGGGAAGGCTGCATTATGTTTGGCCACCTGCCACATACCAAAAAACTCGAAGTCACTGCCATTTGGCTTTGCTCACTGAATCTCATTACACAGAAAACTCAGTGCCAAGTACAGTCCTTACCCCAGATCCTGCTGCCAGGATGGCAGTGAGAAGGCTGAGCTGAGAAGCAGTCCTACTCCAGCTCTTAATCTCTGAAAATGATTCTGAATACGTAACAGTACCACGAGAGGCAGAATACATGGCCCATGGTTTGAAGAAAAACTCAATGCAAAGGGTTTGAAAGCTATAGTGCCTACAGAGAGCCTGTGAAGGACAGCTCCAACATAGTCCAAGAGTAGTGCATATGAACCAAACAGCTGTGTTTGTATGAACTAATGAGCTACTTTGAAGATGCAGTAAATGTGTGTTAATATCCAATTCCTTTCAAATTAAGGCTGAGCAAAGATCTCTTTTCTGCCAGTTTTGTGTCTTTAAATCCAGAGTAAGAGTACTCTCTCAAAACTGTCTGTAAAACCAACAGTAAAGGACTATAAAGACAGACCCCATTTTACTGGTTTCTGGCCTGGGAAAACACAAGTTTATTTGTGAGATACCTACTTGTGACATCTCTATCTTCTTTCCTATGCAAAGCATATTCTGGTAATTTACCCAGATTGTAAACAGTAAATGTTTCCTGCTAGACACCAGAAGGAACACTTAATACTGTCTGATTCTGGCATACATTACAAACCATCCAAGACTTCAAGCTACCTAAGTCTTTCATGATCTAACATTCAGTTCTTAATTTTCCAAGTCTCTGTTCAGAAAAGCTGGCTCAAATTTGCAAAATTTTCCTGCCCAGAAATATTTCTCTGTTTCAGTCAATTGCAAGTTAGGAAACTCTCCACAGCTAAAATACATTCACTGGCTTGGGTCCTAGCTGTCAACCATGTTGACAAAGGCTGCTTTATTTTTTTTACTACTACTTTTGGTTTGTCCTTTTGAAAAATCTGAATGTTGATCAGTACAATAATAATATGACCTCTAGTTATCAACAGTGACAAATTATAAATATAAGACAAAATATGAAATAGAGAATGAGGCGGTGTATACTAGAAAAAATCCTTTGCTGCAATAAAAGTAACTCAGTGTATCTGTGCTAATCACAGCACTGTTCACAGATCCAGAACATGGGCATACATGGGCATTTCATACTATAGAACAGGGCAACAAACCTATAAAATACAGGATGCCTAGTTAACCTTGCTGTAAAACAAAACAAACCAAAGAAAAAAACCCAAACAAAAAAAAAACCCTGACCAGACAAGTATCCCAAACAAACAGTACAAAGTGAGGAATTTTTACTCTTACTCTTCCGTATTTGAGAATTCTTTCCCCATGTTATTCAACTTTCTGCTCCTGAAGGTCCTAAGACAAGGTGCCTTCTGGCTGCAGTCTGATACATCCTATATAAGTATCTTGTAGGAAACAAAACATCAACCTTGGTCCAAAATCCAGTTTGGAAGAAATAAGGCTCTGCAAAGTATCAAGTTTCCCTTACAAATATTTTATTTTTTCTGTCTCTTCCTAGGACAGGTTTAATGTTCAGGAATCAAAGTGTCATTGCTTGCTAGCTGAGCACTGCAGCTTTGTATCCCTTCAAACAGTGCATCTAACTGGAATGTAACTGACAGAAGCACTGTAAGGGAAAATTCACTTCATTCTGAAGTTTCAGAGTAAAACAAACTGTTTTGAAAATAATGAATATGAGAGAGAAAGGAAATACTTATGAGTAAGGGTAGAAAACGGTGGGAAATTTTCTACTGCTGGTGCATATGTATACGATACACCAAATACATACAAAACCTATTTTCATACCTCAATGAGTTTGTCTCCTTTGACTACATCCAGATGTAAGCCAGGTGGCGGTTTCCCTGCCCTGGAAAATAAAGAAAGGAAAATATAGTATCAAAATATTTAATAAAAAGTTTATTAATGTTAGACTAATACTTTAATAGAGCTACAGACCAAACCTACACAAATACAAGCAGAGTTATTTTGCGAAAAATATGAAAATACCATAATTTTCTTTTCCTCCCTACAGATTCCTTCTGACAATGCCTAAAACATGACTTACTTTTTTTTTTTTTTTTACAACAAGAGTTAAGCTAACAGGACATGAGACATTTCAAGCCTTACTTCTTCAGGTGAAAAATAGCTAATTTACAGAATGAACAGAGTGGTTCCTAGGAGAATATGATATGAGGCCAGGAAGAGGCTAACAACTAGAGAAGGGGATAGGCTGGGACTGTTTGCTTAAGGGCCTGCTGAAGGGCTCTGTTTTCTCACGTTAACTTCAAAACAGTAGTTCTCTACCCTTAGCTGCTGAGAGGAATGGAAATATCTACCGTCCTTCCCCTCTAGGACTGGTAATTGCCAAAAACCTGAAAGGTGCTCCACACACACCTGTAATACTATAAAAATTTTGGCCAACAGCCAGCGTTCCTCCACACTCACCCTATAATCAAACTTTCCTACCAACAGAGGTAATGTGGAAGAGAGTACAGTATTACATGGCAGAGGGATCCCTACCCTAGGACAGTACAATCCTCCTCCACCAAATTCTCACACGAACAGCAGCTCAGCTCCTCCAGCCCTACAGCTCCATCCCTGCTCACCTCCTGTGAAGCCGATTCACCGGACTGCATTATTCCCACTTGGGCAAAGGGAGCAGAGGCACACAGGACTCGGCAACGCACAGCAAAACAATGCTAATATGCAGAAGAACCCATAAGGACTAACAGCATCAAAAACATATTTGGTATTTACACCACTGCCCTTCACTGCATAGGATCTTTGGCTGTTGACAGCAAATGATCTCTTTCTGCTCAGATCTCTAAAAATCTGCATCTCTAGTACTTCTTCACCAATAATAGCGCTGCTGCTTGTCTCAACGGCTGGACCAACTTTCTAGGCATTAGCAGTGACCCAATTCTCAGCTACACTGCTGCCCTTCTGAAGAACAATCACAGAAGAGACCACATTCCCAGTTACTGCTTTGCTCACTGCACAGAGCAAGCTAAGAGAACAGCGACAACGGGTATCAACATTCTCAGCATGGCTGGAGAAGGAAGAAATGTCACTAGTAATTGAAGTTGTTTGAAGAGGTTAAATATAGATGTTCACATTTCTGGCACGTGCCTCACAATCTGAAGGCTTCTTCTGTGACTCCAGGTCAGCTGGTTACTACAGATGTACTCTCCTAGATAACTTCATCCAAGAACACCGTCCTCTACTTTTTATACTTCATTTCTTTCTCAAGTATTGTGCAAGCATTTTCCATTCTTGCTCCAAATCCACTATACTAGCCTGCTCAGATCTCTCTCTGGCCTTTCTTGAATATGCCAGTTGGGACTTTCACAAGTTTTATTACCAAGCCCTTCTCTAAGATTGTGGACAGTACCATCCTAACAAATGAGACGGGTGTGGCTGATATTGATTCTTATTCTTTTGGATGAACAAACAGCAGCAGCAAAAGCAGAGGATGCAAAGCTCCAGGGCAATCTACCAAAATGGCGAACGCTTCCTAGAAATGGGATTATGGTGGTGTAAGGTACTTACTTTACCAGCAAGTAAAAATGCTCCCAATGAAGATACACAGTCCATTTGAGGAGTTGTACAAGGACTGACACTTCCAGTAACTCCAGTCCAGCTAGGGGACTGCCTCCTCCCAAGCACTGGTCCAGGATCACCCGCCAGGCTACCCCTAAGTACTGTTGTGTCCTCCTGTGCGCCCCTCAGATCTCAGTGCTCAGTTTTTGTTGGAAGGCAGGTTTCATTCATGGATTTATGTCCACTTCTCAGTGCTTCCTCTTTCTTCCCCTTAAGCACTGGTATACTTGTTTTTCTCCATTCCACTGAAATTGCCAAGTTCTAGTTACTCTGCGACACAATTTTGACAATTTTCACAAAGCCTGCCTTACTTTGATCTAACAACAGCTGCTTTCCCTATCTTTTTTTGGTTTTCTTTCTTCCAAATAGGTAAACCTTTCAAAAAATTAACTCTACAAGCAAGTCTACTTACTCAGTCTGGCCTCTGCTTTTGCTCTGAGTGACCTCTTCCTGGATACCTGACAGTCAGCCTGTCCTAAATGCATTTTAGCAACATCCTCAACATACCTGCTAGGTCATGGGAAAGCTCCCAAGTGTTCTAACACAACCTGCTCTGCTTTTACAGTCAACTTTATTTCAAATACAGAAAAAAAGTCCAGATGCAGCACAAGATAGTGCCTTTGGCTATGAATCAAGGTGCTTGAAAAATTTATCTATTTCTTTTGGACTGAGACTCCTTTGAAGACAGTATTTCCCCTGTCTACCTACGCCTGCAAAACAGGCGTAAGGGCTGTAAATACTGATTATGATACCATCAAAACAAACTCACAGAAATAATTTCTGGTAGAAAAACCCTTTGGAACAGATTAAATGGATGTCACAGCTTAGGCTGCTGAAGTTAAGATACTTGAAAAGCCTTTTAATGAAAAAAGTTGAAACATTTTCCAGTTTTATATTCAAAACTAATTAGTTCCAGAGTCACCAAACATGAGAAGTAATGGCTGTATTTGGAAGTCATAACAACCCCTCACATGCTCTGCCCTGTCAGACCCCTCACCTCATGCATCAAGGAAGGATGAGGACACTGAAAGGAACATCTCTTGCAAAAATCTACTAGAAGGAAGTTTGTTAGAAAGTTGGTAATGTGCATTTTTTCTCCCTCTTATTTACAATATTTAAAAAGAGTCCTCTCCCACTAACTAATGTGCTAAAATATCCACTCAACTAATTTTATTACACTGTTCTGAAGGATGGAGAATTACTTGAGGTGAACAGACCCTCTTCTCCGCAGAACACATTCAGACAGTGAGGCTTAGCACTGCTCCAAGACAAATGACCTCGCATCAGAACCTGGCTCTGGCACAAGTGCTTGCGTTTGAAAGAGAGAAACAAGAAGCTGTTCTGTACCTTCCAGATTGTGTATCACAGTCCCTAGTGCCTGAACGTCTTCTGCTCCCTACATGTCAGCATTCTGCTGCAAGTGACCTTAAAATAAGACCTGTGAGTAGTCTAATTATTACTGACCACTAGTTCAGTAAGTTTAACTGAGACAGAGTATGCTTAGACTGCCTACTGAATTGCCAAAGGCTTATTTGCAAGAAGAGAAGCCTTCCAGAGAATTAACGAGGCTGTCTGTCAAGGAGAACATGACCATAACAGTATCATTAAATGAATTCTCTGGATCAGAGAAGGGGTGAGAGTACATCCCACACTAGAGCTTTTCTTCACTAAGAATGAATTCAAGGAACTCAAAGAAGTATGAGAAAGTTTATCAGAATTGATAAAAAGAAGTAACAAACTGCAAAACCCAGGTGGTATTTAGCCAAGCATCCTAAGAGATATCAAATATCATTTTTATACACTTAACAGTCTACCAATCTATTGCTTAAACTACGCTCACTGTCAGAGAACTGAAAGTATCAACTGATGATGCTAATTTAAAGCATACATTTTAGGAGTGATGTGGAAACTACATAGAGTAAAGTCAAGTTCTGACTGGAAAACTGGTAGAATAGAATATTTCAGTTGGAAGGAACCTACAATGATCATCTAGTCCAACTGCCCGACCACTTTAGGGCTGACCAAAAGTTAAACCATATTATTAAAGGCATTATTCAAATGTTTCTTAAGCCCTGACAGGCTTGGGGCATCGACCATCTCTCTAGGAAGCCTGTTCCAGTGTGTGACCACCCTCTTGGTGAAGAAATGCTTCCTACTGTTGAGTCTGAACCTCCTCTGGTGCAGCTTTGAACTATTCCCACAGGTCCTACCACTGGATACTAAGGAGAAGAGCTCAGCACCTCCCTCTCCACTTCCCCTCCTCAGGAAGCTGGAGAGAGCAGAGCTGTAGAAGCTGTATTACTGAGCAGAACAAGCAGACAGATAGGAATTGACTAATAGCCAGACCAGAGTCATCTAATCCACACTTCAATACTCAACAGTATTTGTCCTTAAGTAATGTGACAATATGTGGGGCATGACGGTTCTTTCAATGCCAGGGAAACATTCTTCTTGGATTAAAGAAGGATAAACCTTGATTTGAATTACACATCATCTGCTCCTTTTGGCCTTTATAAGAATCTGAAGATGACAACAACAACCATGCTGAAAGAACGTCTTGTTTGACGGAATACAACCAAGCACTGTAATAGTTTGTATTCTACTTAAGATAAGCTGAATATCCTGGGAAAGGAGTTAATGTGGTATCTGGATAAAACTGATATTTATTAGCCAAATTAGTTGACTTCTTGCAAGAGAAAGTGGGCATATTCATGGATGATGAGAAACGAGTAGGGAATTGACACTGGCACTCTACTCCAGAAGTGTTGCTCACTACCTGTACAATGGACAGGAAGTTACAAAATGGACTGTTTTAATACTCAAAATGCTCCTTATGGGATGTTGGCTTTTTGGCTTTTGGGGCCTTTTTGTGTTTCATTTTGTTTTTTTATTGCAAGGTGAACTTTCCTTGAAACCATACTCTTCAAAACATGCATACAGGATGCGTACTATTTACATAGTGGTCAAAAAATACTATATTCACGTTCCTTTAGACCATTTCTCTTGTAAAATGAGAACACTATTTAATCAAGACAGCAGCACGGCTTCTGTATGACTTTAAGAACTCTACTTATCTTTCACATTCCTGTGGAATTGTATCAGTCAGATCAAACTGACAGAGCAAGGAACCTTTTGCAAAAGAAAAAGTACCTCCAGTAACCAGTATCAGGTGCCTCACACAGTAATACTCTCCCAGTTTCTAACAGTTACCAACTCAAGGACATCCCGAGTCATAGCTGCTATCCGGATAAATGGCTATCTACACAAATTGCTCTCAGAACCTATGTAAACTTAATGCAGTCACAGAATCTTACACAAACAATTTCACACATCATCTACATATAGCTGAAGCACCCTCTCCACTATTTGGCCACAAACCTGCTTGCTATTAATTTCATTTTGCAAACTCTAGTTCTTCTCCTCAAAAGGAGAGCAAACACTTGTCTCCTACAGACTTTCTGTTCGCTATTCAAGACACCCGACATACCTCACAGTTGTTCCTCTTCCAGACTGAAGAGAAGCCGGGGCTGTAGTACAGATTCCTGTATCTTTGACTGAGACAATACTTGAAAATAATACTTAGAAAGAATTAATATGGGTTTTGAGGAGGCAAATATAGTACCTCCCAATCTACCAGATACTAGAGACAACCAAGAAGATCTAAACAAGGCTATCAGACTGGCAATTTTAAAAAAACTTTTGACAAAATTATCGAATAGTCTTATGGAAATTAAGGTGTGACAGGGAAAAGAAATGCTAATCCATGATGGAATGTAAATGATTAAGAGTCAGAAAGGAGCAAGGTTCTGCAAGGACTCTGTGATGTTTATATGCAGTCTGGAAAAAAGAAGCAAACAAACAAATGAAACAAATGACTTCTGACAACAGTTACGCAGGAAACTCAAACCAGACTACAATGCTGTAAATGAGTGTCACAATATTGCACTACTGCTTGAGAAAACATCCAGGGGAAAAAAAAAATAAAAAAATCAGCACTCGAGTGCTAGTTCTTGCTCAAGAAAGACCACCTCAACCA